TTAAATACATTTATCATCTCGGGTGTGCAACGTTAGAGTAGGTTTTGACTTAATTAAATTTAAGATGAGCCCGAAAAATAAATTTAGTCTTAAGAGTTAAAAGCAAAACTATTTTCACATACTTACTTTATGTAAAACTACTTTTAAAAGCATGACTTGTTTACACCCAAACTCTTCTTTAATTCTGTGGGGTATGTATGATTACGTAAAGGATCCATATGTACAGTATTATTCGTTCATTTTTTTCCAAAAATACATAAGGATTTCTAAAAATTTTTTTGTATAACCTTTTGAAAAATTATAATTTGTACTAAAAATTTAAAACTTCAAATTTAATGTAATTTTATTTTTAATAATTGATTTTGTATTGTGTACATAATCTAAAGTATTGTCTCTTAGTTATCAGTTTTTGAGAAAAACAATCTTTATTTATAAACAATAAGAATGGGAATTTTAAACTACCTTTTCTTGGCATAAATAGGTTTTAAGCCATGAGTATTAGTTTGTCACCATATTAAACACTCAAATTGGCTCCATACATGTTGCGAGTTTAAAAAGTACAGATTGGAGTGGTATTTTCAATTTGAGGAAAAATCAAATTACAAATATCACAGATGAAGATTATAAATAACCGTTATGATCCCAAGATTAAATCTATATCTTGGAAACATCCAGGTTTCGTGAGACTACAACGTGGCTTGCCCCTTTTATGTTACTCCTCCGGTTCTAAATATAAAACATTTATACACATTAGTATAAGAGTCTTATATTTAGGACCAGAGGAGTACTTCTAAGAATTGGTGTGGAATTCTTTTCAAGTTTATGCATAGATTTGGAAGACGAATTTCGTGGTTCTAGAAGAAACGAACAGTCCTTCGTAATGGAGAAAACCTTGCTATCATGGAGTTATTATCATACTTACATATTCAGGACTCAAACGTGAGATTATTCGTTAAGTTAAAACTGAAATGATCCACAGCCAGTTGATCCAAACACCGAGAGACAGGTGAACTCAGAAGGTTAAATTCCTGCGCACCTCGGTTAAATTATTTGAAATGATGTGTGATGGCTTTTATTAAAATATGTTTTCAGCACAGTTCGATTCATTTTTAATCGTTAGAAGATACATGAAATCTTGAAGGCAATAAAGAAAAAATATATTCTTAACACCAAACTTCGCCCCAATCAATATTTAATACATTATGATACCATCTTTGAATAACACACGGCTAATAATTTAATAACGAGTGAGGGTAAACAAATAATTAATCCCTGTTGCACACTCACACAGCTAGCTAGCTTCAAAAAGTTAATAATTTGATTCAGAATTAAACGGTGAGCTATAATAATTATATCCCACAGAAATTGATCATCACTACATTAGACTTCATATTGGGTCGGCATTAAATAATTAATCAACCTATACCGATCTCAAATAAGACACGAGGGAGGGAATCTGCTATTCTGATTGATAATTAAGAAAACTCCACCCACAAAAACATGTTGTCTTTTAAATTTATCCTTCTTTTGGTTTCAGTCTCTTAAGTTTTAAACTATAGGTTTTGGTCCCTTAAGAGGTAAAATGATCCAAGTTTTTATTAGATTATAGGGACCAACGTCTTAAATAAAAAGAAACTTGAGGGACTAAAACTAAAATGAGGATAAACTCAAAGGAGCAAATTTTATATTAACCGATTAAGAAAACTCTACCCACATAGATGCGTCATCCAGAACTTGTTGCCTGCTTCATTTTATTTCTATTCTCTATGATAAAAATAATTGATATATGTATTATAACACGTATTTGAATGGAGAAGGAAAACATAAGTGCATTAAAAAAAAAAGCATCATTCATTTATTTGATCCATACTCTTCATATTAATCTTACATAGAATATATATATATATATATAATTGACGTATTATGTTTTAGACTATATATATGTGCTCAATCAAATTCTTATTATAACAGTTACTTGATTAATTTAGATAAATTAATTAATTATAATAAATAAAATATTTTTTAAAAACAACAATGTGTAGCAATAGATGAAATACCATTTTATAAGTAAATTAGTTCAAAAAACAACAAATTTAAAACATAAGATAAATTAACAACATTTTATATTTTAAACTAAATCTAGTCATCGACTAAATTTTATATTAAAGATTAGATGAAGTGATATTTTTTGTGGAAGTTATGGATGTGTGTGCAAGAGTGAGTTTATGTTTTTTTTAAAATAATTTTTCATATTTGTTGGTGGTAATTCAAGAGCAGACTAAGGAGAAATGAAATGGACAGGGGGCATTATATTGTTGAACCAGACTCGAGTATTATTGGACACGTTTTGCAAAATTAGAAATAAAAGTAACATGATGAGGTAATACGGCACAAGATTTAAAGGGCATATACAATTATGGGTGGAAGGGATCAAATATAAGGTACGAATGGGATATTCCCCAAAGCGAGAAAATAAAAACAATAAATATTTTATGAGTGCGTTGTTCCAAACACTTACTAATCACAGGTCACGGCTTGTTTGTGGATATGCGAAAGACGTAGTAACCTCACATGCATATTCGCTCCCCCATCTTGGTCACCCCAAACACTCCACAAAATATCTCTCCCCTCTGCCGTCTTCTCCTTATTCTCCCATTTATGGGATCCCATTTGAAATTCCCAATTTAACCCTCCCACTTCCTTCAAATTATATTTTTATTAACTGTTTTATTTGTTTTTATATTTTTCTTTAAAATATTGCTTACATCCATTAATAATTTTTGTCCAAAAAAAAAAAGAGAATTGTGGGGGATATGTGCTATGTTATACGACCTATGCTAGAAGCCTAGAAGAGACGAGAAGTTCCAAAAAGATGGACCATGGAGAAAGAGAGGTGGGGGTAAAACAACAATTCTGGACAATTTGGTGTCCTTGTTTTATTTTTACTTTATATATAAGATTTAATTAATTAATTTAATTATTTATTATTACTATTATTATGCAAAAATATGTATTTTTTTCCTAAAATAGTCATATAAAAGATTGCACATTAAATATGAGAGGAAAAAAAAGGTGAGAAAAGTTATGAAATTTTAAAAAGTATAATTTAAAAAAATTTAAATGGGAAAAATTTTAAAAAATTGAGGTGCTATATATTTAAAACTAAAATAAATATTTTAACTTAATCCTTTTTTTCAAACTGAATAATTATTAGCATGACACCTACTCGCACTGCGACGCATTTATCACTGTTGGATCTTTTCCTCACATTCATAAGTATTTGGCCGCTGCTTTACTTATATATTAGGAGTATATTTATATCATCCTGTTATTCCTTTGAATTTATATGTATAATAATTTATATATGAAATAAAAGTTCTGAGTTTTTCTATTCTAGGAAGTATTAAAACTTGTTTGGAGGAAAATTGGTGCAAAATATTAGAAGGCAAACTTAGTTGATAGAAGGGTAGGAGTTCTGAAAAGGGCCGTAAAAGTCACTTGTAAATTCTTAAAAGTTAGAACTTGTTTAAAGTTTCTTTGCATATTTTAAGAATTTTGCAAGGTAGCTTCAAGATTCCAAGTTCCAACTTTGATTTTTCCTGCCAAATAAATTTACTTTCCATCATTTTCCTCCCCCAATTTCTCACTTAGTGGGCTTGGGTCACTCTCTCCTCCATCCAACCTAATAGGAAGAGAGCAGAAAAAGGGGGGAAAAAACAAGAAGAGAGAAAGTCAGGTTTTTCTTTTACTTTTCCAAAACACTTTTTCCTTTTTTCATAAACTTCTATTTATATACTGCTAGTGTATTACTCTTCCGGTCCTTATTATAAGACCCCATTTGACTTTTTATTTGGTCCTAATTATAAGACCCCAATCCATTTTGTCTCTTATATTTATGCATTTTTTTCCAAGATAATCCTTCTAATAATGATAGTTTTAGTCAATATACTTAATTAGCAAGGATATTTTAGGAATGACAACACTTATTTATTATAAATAACCAACTTAACTTACTTTCTTAATCTTCTCAAATAAGTCAATTGGGTCTTATAATTAGGACCGGAAGAGTATTATATTATAAATAATTAAATATAAATGATAAAAAATGATTGCAAGAATAAAAAAAATACCAGTAAAAGGAGAAGGCCAAAAAGGGCAAGGAAGTGAAGCGCCGTACGCGCGCGGGCGTGACGGAGAACTGACGGAGCTTCGGAGGATAGGTGCCTACTTTAACTGTAGTGTTTGCGCATAGTAATGGGTGACTGACGACCGTCACAGTCCAACCCACCACTGCATCGCTTGATTCAATTCATCATCTCGGCTGCCATTTGCAATTACAATAATGCAATATTACTACCACTAGCTACTAGTTTCAAATTTTATTTTATTGGTCCTTCCAGAACTATGAAATAAAATAAGAGGGCCAAGCTCATTTTTGGAAGAGCATTAGCAGGGGACATGGGGACACTGCCATTATAAAATGATGGTGTCCTTTTCTCATTTTTGTTTTTTGTTTTTATTTAATATATATACTTTCTTACATCATCTTTCCTTTAAGTCCTATTCTGTCCTCTAATTACTCCCCCTATTTCCCTCCCTACCATTTTTTTAGTTGATGTATATTTATATCTCTTGCCTTTCCTCCTTCTCCCTAAATATCATCTTCATTCTCTTTAGCCAACCATTACCCCTTCCCTACCCTCCTCCTGCCTTCTCTCTCTGTCCTCTCCCTCTCTGTTTGTTTTCCCTATCACTGCTTGTTATTGTTGCTGCTCTGCTTTTACTCGGGTTTTCTGGGGAGCTTATTTCTCTGTTTCTTGTTGAACCTCTGAGTTTAGCTTTCTAAAGTGTGTTTGTATTGGAGAAATGTATGCAGAGACGGGCCTCCTGTTCCCGTATTTCCAGAATTTCTCCCAAGAACTTCAACAACTTGAGGAGTACTGCAAAATCCACAAGTCCAATGCTTCTGTGGTACTCTCCCCTGTCATATCTTACAAACTTTAGCTTATCTTGCTTCCTCGGTTTTCTCCAGCTTCTCCCTTCATCCGTGCTTCGTTGATCTGCATTTGGTTCATGCCTTCTTGCTTGTTATTTTTGGAAAAACATTAAAGCCTGTTTTTTTTCCTCCCCTGCTTTCTGCTCTTCTGTGGAGCAAATGAGGAAAACTAAAGTGCAACACTCTGTTTTCTAGAATTAGTTAAATATGTTATTTAGCAAGTTAAAGTTTCTCACTCGATTGATGATATGAAAGAGGAGAAGCAAAATGTTACCTTGATGCTTTTGCTTTTACTCTCCTCGGGAATTCATACCTTTTTCCCCTCAAACTTTCATTTTGGACTGCTTTCTCATGACACAAACGGAACCAGCTGGAGTTTGCTTTATAAACTGGATCTGTAAAAGCTATGGGACAAGAGATATAAAAAAAGGAAGAAGATAGTATTAGTGGAAAATATTTCCCTTGTGTTAGTTCCGTGTTCTATAATGTTTCTCCCATTTTTTTTCAAAAAAATTCTGGTGAGACTTCTTAGTGGGGTTTGTCTTTTTGTGTCGCACTGAGGGAGATTAAAGAGCAAAAGTTCTTTATATTCTTTATTTCTTTACAGTAAAAAGAAGTTAGGGGAAAGGAGGTGATCAATGCTCAACTTAATCATTCCTTTATGGTCTTGTCGGGCACTAAATTTAGTTTGACAAAGCAGAAAATCATGCTGTATTGAATCTATTTCTACTCTTGCTATGGCTTGCTGTATTGATGATTAAAACAAAGTGCTTTTTTAAGGTAAGGAACTCTTGCAATTAGGGTTGGTGCATTAGACTAATCAAAACCTGACTTGTACGCTGATTTCCTTCATTGAATTGTTGATGGGGTTACCAAGTTTAATTCTTTTGGGCATTCCCTGGGAAGAAAACTTTGATCCTTATTCAACGAATAGAGTCTTTGTAATTTGAATCGTTGAATGTCCCTGGACTTTTCTCTGTATATCCAGTTTGTGTGTGTGTGAGTATACCTTTCCTTCGTTCCGGGCTTCTGATATACAGTATGAATTTGGAGTTATTTAGTGGTTGATTTGTGATGACATTTAGAAAGTTCTCGCCTTTAAATTTTTAGAATAAATTACACAAATCTCCCTCAATTTTCATATGCGGAAATTTCCCTTGAGCATGGAGTTACCACAAACTTTAATCCAATTTTAGTTTCTTTTGACCAAAGGTATCCTCCATTTATTTTCTCCTAATCGGAAAAATTAGATATTTAGGTCAACAAAGGTTATTTTAGTAAAAAAAAAAAAAATTGAACTAGGTTAGAGTGACTTATCGTTTTAGGTAAGGTCTCTGTAATTTTAGCAAAATTCAAGAGAGATTTCTGTATTTTTTTAAATAATTTTTTGTTATTTAACCTGTTACATGCTCAAAGAATTTTGGGCAGTTCAGAGTTTGTACTTCAAATTCCTTAAAGCCCTTGCTAAAGTCTCTTGCTGAAAAAGTTTAGGAATAGCGTATATATGGTCCAAATCCTGTCTGCAGGTCTTGTTTAAGCAGGACGATGATGACATACAATTTGAACTTTCTTCCTGCTCAAACGAGTTCATAATTTGGGGAGTCATTGAATTGAAGAATTAGGCAGGTTTTCTCTCAAAATATTTTGGCATCGTAAGGCCAATCAACAGCCACAAGCTTAAAAGTTGAAAAAATTGGATAAATACAAGAAGTAAAACGTGCTAGTGGTTTTCATGTACTCAGACTGACGTTTATTTCAGGTAGCATAGCGATTGCAAATCACAGTCAGTCACACTGCATCTAAAATTTTCCAAGGCATATTTCTCGTCTGCTTCAGTAGTTTAGTAGTTATTATGATTATTGTCTCTTTATTGCTAATTTGTTATTGCTGCAATACTTGTATATTGTACTAGCTAAACTGATTTCTTTTTAACATCTTTTCCTTCATTTCTTTCGTTTAAGCTACTGTTCTCCATTGTTCTGCACTTAACTATACCATGTTGGGGTTTAGTCGATTCCCTTTTAACACCTTCCCACTTGTTAATTACTTTTGGTGTTTCATTCTCCTTGTGTCTATTGCAGAGTGACATTGTCAGCTCTTCTGCCATATCTGAGTATGACTGGGCAGCCGAGGGGGATCTGTTCAAGGCTCCTGAACCTATTATTGAAGAACCAGTCATGGACCTGGATCCTGTGGCAGCAGCCATCTCAATGATATCCTGCGGGGAAGATGTTGTTTCCTCACAGGGATTAGAATCCACCGACATAGATGCTCTTCAAAGCGAGCAACTTCTAAGTGAGGTATTCTATGAGTGCAAAAAGGATCTTTTGGAGAAGACTGCAATAGAGTCATCACTATGTGAGATTCTGGATATCAAGTTTCCTGTTCTCAATACAGATGAAAATAAAATTCAAGTAAACAGACAAATTCATGACGTGCCATTACCAAAAAGTGTCAGTTTGGGATGTTTGAGCTCAATGGACTGGATGCAAGGAGCTATGATCAAGCCTGCTTTTCTTGAATTCCCAGGAATAGATTTCAGTGAGGTTTATGGAATGCGGAGGGCATTTAGCGAGGGGGATATTAAGGTCAGACCAATCACCTAACTCACTTATATTTGCTCTATTCCAAGTTAAGCATTTTTTTTTTCCAGTGGATTTAAATTCTCAAAAAATTTAGCAGCATCAAGTTGCAAAGGGAATATCTTATATGAGGTTAGAAGTGGTCCATGAATTTCAGGGGAGAGAGTCGGGGGGGGGGGGTTTTGGCAAAGACGTATGAAAGAGATCTGAAAACGCTACAGATGTGGCAGCAACCGTCTGAAAGCTAGATCTTGATCCTGGATGTTATCTGAATTTTGCTTCTTTCCCAAATATTTTAGAGTAGCAGAACTAGCGGTTTAAGTAAAGATCTGATATTTCTAAATTCAATTCAGTTTTCAATTCTCATTAATAATTTGTAGACAGCATGCATGCTTTCAATTTTCTGATTAGGCATCTCTGTTACACAACTATTCACAGTATATCTAATACATGACTTGAAAAAAAAATCCATAGTTCAAAACAATTAGTTCAGCAATTCATGCTTTTGAATATAGCTCAAATCTAACGAGTACAATCATTATGAGGATCCTCTCTCCATTCAGAAACAGGAGACTCGGGGCAATCATACTTCTTTTTGTGAAACAACATTCCTTTCGACTCTAAGTTATTCCCAGAGTTTGTCCCTCCTTTGGATGGATTCCTTTCGACTCTAAGTTATTCCCAGAGTTTGTCCCTCCTTTGGATGGATAATTGACATCTATTGATTCACTTAAAGCAAAATACAACATGCCAATTCGCTTTGTGAGATCTACAGACTTGTGGCCATTTTTCCAGGATAGGGCTAGATGATTGATACCCTTTTCTTTTTTGGTGTCAGGCTCTGGGTAATGGCAATGGTAATGTGAACCTCATCCAATCTCCTCTTGAGAGGCCCCTTGTTATGAGCAACTGCACGAGTGAGGAACGCAGGGAAAAGCTCTCCAGATACAGGAACAAGAGGACAAAGAGAAATTTTGGCAGGAAAATCAAGGTAAGGGAATAATTCCGTCTTTCGAACTAAGTGAGTATTTCTTAAGAACAGGAGCACTGTAGATAATCTGGAGATTGCATTGACTGCCTTATCACTGTCTGTTTCTTCATATGATGTTACACATTCTATTTACGATCCTCATCTGAGGAAATCCACCTTGCTATTTGCTAACTTGGCAGTCAAAATGTTCTCCTATTTTTGAAAAAGACATTCCATTGTTGTGCAGCCTGTGCTGGTGGAGAACTACCATATGATGTATCATCTTAGCTCTCCTCTTCCATTAGTTTCTTGGACTTCTTGATCATGTCGTTTTGAAGTATGGATAAGGATTTTGTTTTATGAGCATAATCATCACTTTAGCTATTGAAGCTTCTGAGAGTTCTACTCTTCGATGCTGTAGTTTTATGATGAATGAAGTCAGAACCAGCTTCAGTAATCATGGCTAATCCCTCGCTATGGTTGCACTAGCTTCATTTACGCTAATTTCAGCCAATGTAAATAGACTCTGAAATCTGCTAACTAAAGTAACTTTTTTTTGCCCCCCCCCCTCTCAGTATGCTTGCCGGAAGGCTTTGGCTGATAGTCAGCCCAGAATCCGAGGAAGATTTGCAAAAACTGAGGAACCTGAGGTCAAGAGGCAATAACTTTCAACTGTTCTAGTAAAATATCCCAGTAGGAATGATGTAGTTATATCTCATCAAGCTGAAACTAGATGTGTGCTCAACAGTGATATGTGCATGGAGATGGTGGCGGAGTCTCAAAACTGGAGCAGGTATTGCTAAATAAACAAGATCCTAAGCCTAAAGCTACTTCAGAGTAGAAGACCAAGGAAATGGAATGTACTCCGCACTAGTTCATCTCTTATGTGCTGCAAAATCATCTTTTTTGTAGTCAGAAATGACCTTCTAAATTTGTAAATAGGTTTGTTAAATAAAAAGAAGGAAAAAGAGGTTGGCTCATGTTCATATATATATATATATATAATGTTTTGAAGTGAAATGCTATTTCTAAGTATTCTTCAGAAATGGATGTTGGAGCGTCATTCAAACTATATTTATTTGAGTCGAACCCTGTCACTATCCCGTATTTATAAGAGCCTAATCACACCACAAGCTCCTGTCGTTACATTAAATACAGAATAGTAAAATTTCATTTGAGAAAAATTAATTCAGGTCCCAAAGAATATCTTCATTTGATTTTGGGACAAGTGTGATTCTGCGTTTGCGTTGTTCCCTAATTATCACTTATTATTCGATTCTTGTTTTATATCTACGCATATTTATGTACGTATGGGCTATAATAATGTCAAAATCCATTACATAATTATTTTGTATAAAATCCTGTTATTCCAACTCAACTTTTCCACCCTGTTTTGGAAGGAAATCATTCAGCGCAACTTGCAGTGTTGCATCCAACTTTATCTACGGATCAGAGTTCATCACGTTAGTCTCGCTCTTGCTTTCTAATCAGAACGTCACGATTCAAGAATCAATAATCTATCAATCACTATATCATCAAAATCAAACAAAACAGATAATAATTATTTATATCCAGTTGCGTTTCTGGGTTTGATATCCTGAAAGCTTGCCTGTTTCATAAGTTCATATATATGAAACAAACTAATCGCTGTTAATTAATTTATATGAACGGGCTTGACGGCACCTTCGTATCTAGTGATCTATGAACAGGCTTGACTCGAAAATAACAGATTTTGTCACGAGGGGGAAAATCTACTCGGTCAAAGAAAAAAGACAGGATCTTTATGTTTCTCTGGTGAAATAAAAATGTGACAGCGAACGGTAAGTAAAGATACTGTACTATCGAAATGAAGTTTCGGAACAGGTAAAAGATTCTCTTTATTTTTATTGTCATTATAAAAAATTAGGCGAACTGTTTCAAAGACTCATGCTGATCAGAATCAGTCTGGGTTTATAAAGTGTCTGCAGAAATATTTATTTACTTTGATTGTCAACTTTGAAGCTATGATTTTATGGTTATAAATCAAATATTTATCAACTAAATCAATGTTTGTTGGCAGATAAAAGATCCTCTAATCGTAACTTCGCTGTCGCTAATGTCCGAACACATAATATTTGGAATCCAGGAAGAAGAAGAGGGGCGGGAGGAGCAAAGTTCGGAAAACAGGGGAATTAGTGTTAATATCTTCGTTCTTCAACAATTCAGCAAAAAATTTATTGCCTAAATTCGAATTTATATAATTTATAATCATTGTTAAGATTCTGCGGCATGATTAGAGATATAAAACGTAAATATAAGGAAATCCCACTTGTTATCATGTTCCTCTTGAGTCATCTGAAAAAGATCCAAATCAGATACTATCTACGTCTAGTCCACCCAAACACAGGGGCCTCCATCAGACGCTCCCATTTCATGGACGTCGAAAAAAGACCTCATCGGCCGTCGCAACGCAATTTCGTAGCCCTCAGGGAAAATCCAATCGTTGACCTTCGTTACGCAGATAACTAAAATCCTATCCTGCCATTTTTCAGTTCCCTTTGTCTCTGGCTTCGAATCAAAAAATGGTATCTACTCTAATCCAGACGTCACTCAGTGCCTCGCTAGCGTCTTCTTATGTCATCCAAATTTAGCTTTGCCGCATATATAATTATGCATAAAGTAACGGGGCAACCTGAACTTTATCGCCCGGGGAAATTTCAAACAGGGACAACGATTTATTGTTTTGTTTAAAAAATAAAAACAAAATATAATTCTGCCGGCACAGCTCTACCGGTGGCCGGCGTTACATTTTGAAATTTCGAAATTAAATTTCTGATATGATCTCTAAGTAGTCGTCATCGTCTTCCGGTCATCTTTCTGCCCTCTCTGCGGAAAAAAGATAATGATATGTGGGTGTGTGTGTCTAGACACACATAATATTCTTTGTTCAGAGTAGATCTAACAGCTCAATCCCGTTGGAGAATCTCTTCATATTGCACGTTTCGGAAGCGATATACTCTTCTTCACGTTCCCTTTGGACGATAACGTGAGAAGTGATAACATAACACCCATCAAGTCACGAGCTTCAAAACGTGGATTTGTATTCGTCACTCATCCAATCCAATATAAGACAAATCAGTTTTTCTTAATTTTAGAGCTTTCTCGTTGTCCTATGATGTCTGTCTGTGAGAGAGATTCTGGACTGAGACTGAAAATCATCACACAGCGCATGGAATAGAAAAGCAACACCAAAAAACCGAGATTGGATTTCAGAAAAACAAAAATGAAATGAATTTCACAAACAGAAAAGTAAAGTCAAACCCGTTTATGGCCACAGTGCTATAGAGACCGGACTGTGTTTTCAGATTCACCCACCACCCACCATAAAAAGAAAACCAGCCACCTAATTATACATGTCCTCCTCTTACATGTTCATGTTTTGCGAACGACGAACCAAACCCCATCCTCGAAACTTCCATCCCATTCATCGTATTCGTATTGCCACTTTAATTCCCCAGATCTTTTCTTAACCACGAATAAAAAAAGTTTGCTCTTT